CAGCTAAAAAGTAGCAGCTCCAGGACTCACACGTGGGGCTATCAGAGTCCAGATTCCACCTCCCTTCAGAGCAAGGTAGGGACTTGAAGGTTGCAATCATAATCAAGTTTTCTTTCTTTTTTTTTTTTTTTTCCTGAGACAGAGTCTTACTGTCGCCCGGGCTGGAGTGCAATGGTGAGATCTCAGCTCACTGCCACCACTGCCTCCAGGGTTCAAGCGATCTTCCTGCCTCAGCCTCCTGAGTAGTTGGGACTACAGGCACCCGCCAACACACCTGGCTAATTTTTGTATTTTTAGTAGAGACGGGGTTTCACCATGTTGGCCAGGCTGGTTTCCTGACCTTAGGCGATCCGCCCTCCTTGGCCTCCCAAAGTGTTGGGATTACAGGCGTGAGCCACCACATCTGGCCATGGCCAAGTTTTCTCTCCTTGGACCCCTCTCCCTCCCAGTTCAGGGCAGCTCACCTGGCCAGCAGCAGGGCAGGGATACCCAGCATGGAGAGCAGGGTCTGCTGCGGGGAGAGGCCAGCCTGGGTGAGGCCCAGGTAGGACAGGGCCCCCAGCAGCCCAGCTCCCCCAGTCCCTGAGGACCACCAGGAGATCACAGCCCTGGGAAGGAGAACACAGGAACATTCAGGAGGACCAAGGCCGACCATGTGACAGCCGTTCCCCACATTCCCTGCTCCACCTGCTTACCTGGGGTAGAAGGCAGTGAGAGAGAGGAAGGTGACCTCCCCGAGGCCTGATGAGATGCTAGCCAAGACCACACCTGGGGGGAGGACAAGCAACGGGGTGGTAACACCTCGCCTTGCCACATCGCCCAGGCCCCTAAGGTGTCTGGCCATGGCCTCCTCCATATCACCTCATAGAGGCTCCAACAGATCTCGCGTACAGGCCAGGTTCCAGGTCTGAAGCAGAGTCCCCCTCCCCTGTGTGTCCCTTCATGAAGAGTGGCACCTCCATCCACCCAGTTATCAGACCAGGAGCAGACATGCACCCTTGATGGCTCTGCCCCTCCATCAGTCTTTTTCTTTTTATTTTCTTTTCCTTTTGGAGATGGAGTCTCGCCCTGTCACCCAGGCTGGAGTACAGTGGTGTGATCTCGGCTCACTGCAACCTCTGCCTCCCAGGTTCAAGAGATTCTCCTGCCTCAGCCTCCTGAGTAGCTGGGATTACAGGCTCGTGCCACCACACCCAGCTAATTTTTGTATTTTTGGTAGAGACACGGTTTCTCCATGTTGGCCAGGCTGGTTTCGAACTCCTGACCTCAGGTGATCCGCCCGCCTCGGCTTTCCAAAATGCTGGGATTATAGGCATGAGTCAACGTGCCTGACCCAGAGTCTTGACTTTGTTCACCTCAATCTCCGTCTAATTCATCCATTTTCTCCCATCTCCTCCACTGCCTACCCCTTCAAATTGTCCCAGTATCCCATCTCCTACTGCTGATAGCCCTAGCAGGCTTCTGACGGTGACAGAATGAATCTCTTTCCTCTGGGAGGCTGGGGAGACTCTTCCCACAAATGCTCTGATGCGGTTCCTCAGGGACCCCCATCTGACACAGAACCGCACACTCACCACACAGGCTGGTCCCCACAGAATGAGAAAAGGCAACCAGGACGAAGCTTCCAGCAGCACAAATCCCACTGACAAGAACCCGGGGGCTGAGGGGGCCAGAACGGAAGAGAGAGGGAAGGTCAGTCTCTACTCTCAGCATCTCAGCCCTCCCAGCCTCCCCATTCTCAGCTCCTGCCTGCCCTGCCTCCTGCTACTCCCACCCAGACCTGTAGGGCAGCAGGTGAAGGCCAAGAGGAGCCAACAATTTGATGACGAGCGTGGGGAGGATGTCTGCCAGGAGCACGGCCTGGGACAGGAGAAAGGAGTGAGACCCCAGAGGTTCCAGGGGACAACCCTCCCAACCACGTGGCCAAGGAGAGGTAGGAGCAGCCCTGCTACAAACACAGGCTCTGGGGTCAGGCACACCTGGGTTCAAGTCTCAGCTCTGCCACTCCTTAGCTGTGTGTCAAGAGTTTATATTCTATCAGCTTCAGTTTCCTCATCTGGAAAATGGGGATATCATAGCGCCTAGCTCACAGGACTGCTGTG